CAGCAAGTCCAGAGCAGTTTTAATGGGGGTGGAGGCTGTGTAAAGGGCAGGGCCCACTGAAGGAGGGAAAGCAAGGCCATGCTGTCCCCAGCCTGTGCATAGGGGCCTGGGCATGGACACCCTTCCTCCACCTCTGGAAAGAGAGAAGATGAGCCCTCAGGAAGGAAGGGAAACCAGCTCGTCCCCAACTCCTGGCCTCTGTCTGAGCCAGGCCCCAGGATGGAGGAGGGTTGCTGGTGTCAGGGGTGGGGGTGGTCTCAGCAGAAAGCAGAACCTTTGCAGGCCTCCCCCCCCCTCAAAAAAAAAGCATTAAAAGTCCAGGGCCCTGGCCCCTCCCGCCCTAGCCCCCAGTACGAAAAAGTGCAAAACATTATCACAAAATGGGGGGTCTCAGAGGGGCTCTAAACCTGGGCTCCTGAGGCCCATGCCCTAGCCCTGCACTGCCCCGGACACCGCGTCCGGCGCGGTAGGGCCCTGGGCCGAGGGGCCCTCGGGGTTCGCCCGAGGCCGGCCCGGGCTCGGGCAGGGCCATGTCATGCAGGTGCCCAGGGGGCACCCCCCCCCCACTCTCACCCCCAACTCAGGGCTTCCGACGCCCACTGCCTGCCCCTGCCCGAGGCTCTGAGCCATGACATTGAGCCCGGGGCTGGCTGGAGACATTGCGCTGCAGGGCGGGACTGGAGTGAGGTGGGAGGACTCCATCCTCTGTGCTGCCAGCTTGGGCCAGTGCTGCCTCTACCACGTCCAGCTCTTCACTGCCCGCCTTCAGCTTGACCCGAAGCAGTGCTGCATATGTGCCATAGCGGGATTTCTGAGGCAGAGGGGCGGAGGCTGTGAGCCAACTCTCCACCCTCTGCCCATCCCACCCCATCTCTACCCCGTCTGGACCAAGGAGGGATACCTAAGAAGGTTAGAAAATGGCAGGTTCTTGCCCACTCTGAACCCCCAAGGATGTGACATGATCCCCAGTAGGTTGGTGGCCCTCTATGGGCTCTCAAGATTGCCAGTTGTAAGAGCCAATGTTTCTTGAGCCTTTACCAGAGTTGGGAAAACAGCACTTGACAGACATCTCACTCATTACCCTAGTGAGTACAGAATAGTCTCCCTGTCCCACAGAAGAGGAAACGAAAGCTGAGAGGGATTAATAAGCAAGACCTGGTCCCACTCTTAGGAGTCCATGCCCTGAACCACTAGTCTGACCCTGTATTGGGACACAGAGGTCCTGCTAATGGAGACAGGTGGCACACAGGTGCCCAGGGCCGGGAGGCTCACCTCAAACTCCAGGTAGGCCTCCTTCTGCCGCTGCTCCTCAGCCTCCTTGCCCCGGGCCTTCTTGCCCAGTAGGGCCGCCTGGTGCTCCTGCAACTCACTTGCCATGGCCTTCAGCTTGGCCTCATGGGTCCGCACTTGCTCCTCCTAGAGGCAGAGGGAACACGGTCAGGGTTACTCTAGCACACACGGTGCCTTTGTGCAAGTTTATTTAAAAGGTGCCCCTTTCTTAGGATGAACAAACGACTATGTCTGGATTCACAGCATGGCAAGTAGAGTGGCAGCTGGGTTTCAGCCCATTCGCCCCACCACCCCATGACCAGTGTCCTAATCATAGCCAGCAGTCTTGACTGCAGTTGGCCTGAGCCTGCCCTACTCCATCCCACTGGCCAGGGGGACAGAGCTGGGAGTACCTGGGAGAGGCGGGTGGCAGCGCTGGGCAGCAGAGGGCGGCTGAACTTCTTCTGGGAACTAACAGCAGCTGGGAAGGGGGGTGCAGAGAACATGGCGGCCACCACATTGATGCGAGTGATCCAGGACTGCATCTGCTCCAGGCTCCTGAGGAGATAGCACAGCTACTTGGGACCTGAGCCCAGGATTCCTAACAGGAGGACTAGTCCTGGCTCAGGATGTGGCCTGCGGAGGAAAGAATCCATCCAGGAACAAGGGAGGGGAGCAAGCTGGGAATGGAGAGAAGGGCCTGGGATGGGCAGGAGGAAGGCACTCACGAAGCCTGGAAGAGGAAGACCCGCCAGTCAGCTGTGCGCAGGTAGAAGACGTGGGGCCTCTTGCTGTAGTCCCTGGCGCGTGTGGCCAATGCGTGGTGGATGCTGATGGCATTCTTAAGCTCTGCCTCTGATAGGGCCTTCCCAGGCTGGTACTCCTCCTGCAGGAAGCCCATCTTGTCCTGGCCACAGTCCCAGCCTGGCCCAGCCCAGCCACATTCCCCAGAGCCAGCTCAGCCCCCACCCCTTGGGCTGGCCCCGCACCTTCTGCAGGTAGAGGATCATGCCCTTGAGGATCCCATGGAAGCTCTTCCAGCCCCGTTTGCCCCGAGGTGCTGGGGGGAAGGGAAACAGGTCACAGGAGGACTGGGACAGGCCCGCTCCCTTCCATTCCCCCAGACCCTCGCACCAGGCCACGTACTCTTCCTGCAGTCGGGGTCTGCGTGCACCTTTCGCACCAGGGCCCCGTGCTTGTAGACCGCGGCCCCAGGCTCGGGAGTCAGGTCCAGGAAAGGGCTGGAGCCGCTGCCACTGCCCCCGCTGACCCTCTTGATGACCTTGGGGTTGGGGTCGGCCAACTCAGACAGAGAGCGTCTCAGCTCCTCCTCGTCTCTGCAGGTGTGATCACCTCAGAGAGGGCTGGCTATGAAGCCACACCCTCCCCTTTCAATCCTGGCCTCTGCTCCCCCAGGAAAGCCCCTCTAGTGTTTGTAGACAGAAGGGCTGGGGGAGCTGCTGCTCTCAAAGGGTGTGGCTCCCCGCAGCCTGAGGCCCCTGGAATCATAGTTCCCACCTCAAACCAGGTCTCCCCACTCAGATCAGGGCTCCAAGGGGCAGAATGACTCCTCAGATTACAGCCCCCAGGTCTGTTCCTTCCTCCCCTCACATGTAGCCAACCCCATCTTCTCCATTTCTGCGCGCGCGCACACACACACACACACACACACCCCTCATAGCCTTCTCTACCAGGACAGACATATGTCTGACTCAGCTGTCTCAACCACACCCACCACCAGCTCACAGCTTGTTGGCAAAATGGTGTCCGAAGTAGCTGCTTCCTAGTGGTCCCCTGCTACATCCCTATCGGCAGGCTCTGTCAGGTATCATCTGACAAGTGATTCTGTCCGTCACTCGGAGCTCGACCTGCAAGCTCCCTATTGCCTCCCACATGGAGCCTATAATACATCCCTACCAACACTCTCTCCTTCCACACTCCAATCAGGCCTGTCCCCTTAGTCTCCCCACCCCATACTCACTTCAGACATCACATATTTGCCGCCCAAATGTCAACTTCCCTTTTTCTCTTCCCAAACGTTTCCCCTTTCAAGTCTTGCCCCCGCAAGTCCCAATCCTCCAAGAAGCTTTCCCTGTACCCCAGTCCTAAGCTCTGCCTCCTGAGGTCTTCTCTCCCACCTGCTGGGAACTCCCATCTATACTGAGCAGTGGCTGGACTCTTAGCAGATACTAGAAAATACATGATCTGTTGACCGTTTAGATGAGGGCTCTACCCTCAGACTGGGGGGCCCAAGGCTAAAACGGGGCCTTCTCTCTCAGATGGGCTCTTCAGGAAGTCTCCAAGACTTCTGAGTCTCTGTTTCCACTGGGACTATAACAGGAGACAATGTGGGCCCTTGTTCTGTGACACTTAGGGCTCCCTAGGACCCAAGAGGGGTCTCTCATGCTATTGGCCCAGGGCCCTACCTCCAGAGACTTCTGTTTTCTCACTAGGATTGCCAAGGGACCTCCCCTTCTGCAACCCTCCTCCTAGGCCAGCTGACAATGGCCACTTACCCCAACCCAGCTTGTCATAACAACCCAGCTAGAGACAAGACACAGAACTCCAAGTCCAGGCAAGCATCTCCAAAGAAGGAAGTGAGGCGACTTTACTGCCTCTCATGGCCTCACCCACCTCCCCTGCCCCACAGCCCCAAGACTCACAGGGCCCACCTCAGCTCTCTCCACCTCTCCAGGCAGACCCTTCCCCACACCCACATCTCTACCCCACCATACAGCCCCAGGACTCACATGGCCCACTGCAATTTTTCATTCTTGATGGAGCTGTACAAAGCCTGAGGAGGGAAAAACAAATCAGGGCAGTGTGGGTCAATCCTGGAGGAAGGTGCATCAGGTACCCCAATGCCAGAGCCAGAGCCCTCCCTCCCATATGGGGGAGAAGACAGAATTGAGGGAGAGGGCAGTAGGGTGTAATGACCAAGAACACAGGCTCTGGAACGGAGTACTAGGACCCGGGCCCAGCTTTGCCACTTCTGCAGCATTGCTTTAAGCAAGTATCCATGGGGAAGAACACAGTACCACGTGTTTAATGAAGGGAAAGCCATTAGCACAGGGTATCCTCATATGTGAGTGATGCACAAATAATGGCAACTGCTAATATCTTTGTTGTTATTGTTAAGAGGTCATCCTGCTCAGATCCTTGGTGGGAGAAACAGCTCTGGAGGGAATGGAAAACAGTATTTCAAGAAGCTCTCCTTTTCCCAAACGGCCATGCTTTGGGCCTGTTTTACAGCCTAAAACCACACAGAGCACATGGGGAAACTGAGTCCCCGGAATGGGAACTCACTGTCACTTCCTTCCTCGGCCAATGAGAACATACGATGGCTCCCAGCCCCAGGACAAGCTGAAAGCACCCCAACCCAGACTGCCCCCCCAAGCCAAATGCCAGGGTGGTCTAGCCCCAGCCGACTCCCACACCTCATGTTACTAGGGAGTGAACATTAGTTTAAAAGGCAGCAGTTTCAGCTTCCAACCCCTGCACATGCCAAACTCCCTGTGGATTTCTCAACCAGTCACTTTCCTTCAGTGCAGCTGGCCTGGGGGACCTGTGGGACCTTGTGGTGGTCAAAGGAGAGAAACGGGCTGGAGGAGTAGCATAGGAAACCCCTCTTCTTGGGAGTGGCCTGCAACATGGGTCCACACTAGGGCCTCCACTGTGGGGTGCTCCCCACAGCCTGCCTGTGAGTAGGTGTGCCCCCAGCATGTCTGTGTCAGGCTAAGCGTGTGGCGTGATGCTGTTTGCATGTGAGCTGGGTGCAGTGGTGACGTAGGCACCTTCTCTGTGCTAGGACACAGCATCCCCCCAACACACCAAGGCCTCTGACTCTCACTGCCCACGGCCATGCAAAACAGCCCCCATGAGCACACCCTGTCCAGCGCTGAGTACACCCCACACACAGCACGACCAAGCTTATGCACACACAGCTTCCCAGCACACATCCAGCCCAAACCCAGCATAGCTTGGACTCTAAGCTTTCACTCTCCAACTCTCTGGCCAGGAGGCTGAAGTGGCCACCGACATCCAACCCGCAATCCTTGTCCCCAGCCTTCCAGTTCATCTCCTGCCCTTTTTGGCCCCCAACCACATCTCCCTTCCAAAGTCCTAACCCCCTCCGTGAGCCCCAAGTCACGCTCCCATTCAGAAGATCCAAAGGCCCTTTAGTTTGAGGTGCCCAGCTTGATCAGAGGGTCTGTGCTCTCCCCCCTGCAGTCCATGCCCATCCCCGGCGACCCGTGGGCTCTGTCCCTGCTGGGCTCCCCGCCTCAGCCCCACCGGTGCCCTCCTCTGCGCGTTCTGCCTCGGGTGCCTCCTCCCTCCAGCCACCCCCGCAGCCGCCTAAGTCGCCCCCCAGCCTGGCGTGGGCCGCAGCCCCAACGCCCTCACCGCCTTCTTCTTCTTGCGGCTCTGCAGGCGGCTGCAGGCGGCTGACCACCAGGTCCGTGTAGAGCACGGGCTTGAGGCTGCGCGAGCGCTGCGGCCACCCGTAGCACAGCGTCTCGGCGCCGCGGTGGGTGCGCCCGTAGCGCACGGAGCACAGCGAGCGCGAGCGCAGCCGCCCGGCGCTGCTGTGGATGCTGTTGACGCCGATCATCCTGGCCCCGCCGGCGCGCCGCGGCCCCCGGCCATGCCCCCGCCCGCCTCGGCCCGGACGGCCCGCGGACGGCTTCCCCCGACAGCCGGGCTCCGACCGACACAGGACCGCGCGGCAGCGGCAATGTCGGCTCCGCGGCTCCGTAAGCGGGAGGGGGGCGCCGACTGGGAGGGGAGGGCGAGGGCTGGGGCGGGGACGGCGCCAAAGGGAGGCGTCTGACCGAGGAGGGGCCCCCAGCGGCGCGGCGCGACGGGGGAGGGGCCGAGGGAGGCCGGGGAGCCCCACCTGCGTGGGGGCGGGCCGCTCTGGGGCGACGGCGGGGGGCGCTGGGAGCCCCTAGGCCGGGAGCTGTGAAGGTGGGCGGACCCTGTGGGTCTAGAACTCCCTCCAAAGCAAGTCAGGGTTGGGGGTGGGATGGGGGGAGTGGTGGTGAGGAGAGAGGTCGGAGCGCCCCCTGGCGGCCCTTTTTACCGAGCCAGGACGGCCACGAGGCGAGGCGAGCCGGCAGCGCAGGAGAGAGGCAGCGTGGAACCGCTCTGGCCTCATCCAACTCAGCGACTCGCAGCTCCCTCCAACGCCCGTGGGTGCACCCCAAGTACACACTCCCCAGTTACAGACATACACCTCAACCAACAACATGCACCCCAACTCACGGACACTACAAATGCAGATGCACACCTCGAAATGTACAGTCATTAACGTAAAAACATACACCCTCTACTCACCGACACGTTATAGATCAGACAGCCAGTTCATAGATGTACATCCCAACCACGTAAACAACAAACGACACCCCCACCTCAGACACACACCCTAAGCCCTAACGCACAAACATACCCAAATCAGACAAACCCCATTGCTTCCGTGGTCGGCAAACTGCGGCTCGCGAGCCACATGCGGCTCTTTGGCCCCTTGAGTGTGGTTCTTCCTAAGCCTTAGGAGTACCCTAATTAAGTTAATAACAATGTACCTACCTATATAGTTTAGGTTTAAAAAATTTGGCTCTCAAAAGAAATTTCAATCGTTGTACTGTTGATATTTGGCTCTGTTGACTAATGAGTTTGCCGACCACTGCTAGGTCATACACATACAACTCAAGTCAAGCATCCCCCCAACTCCCAATGGTCACCCCCACTCAGATACATCCCCAAATTCGGAAATCCAGCACAACTCAAGCTCACAGACGAGCCCAGGGACACCCCTGTGCACTCACATTTATGTGGTGGCCCAGGGACCCCTTTTCCAACCTTGGGGGTTTCAAGTAAGTCCAGGCCTCCCTGGATGAAACCACCCATCAGGGGGCGGGGGGAACCCACGGGCCGGATGCCCCTCTCCCCCCCATCCTTCCAGCCCCAGGGTCACAGACCCCGCAAGGGACCTGGGCTCAGGCCCGCCCACCAGGAGCCAGAGGCACCGTAGGGATCTGGCTCCAGTTTGGCGCTAACGCTCTGCCAGAACTTGGAAAAGCCTTTGTCCCTCTCAGGCCCCGCTTCCTCCGGGCGCCTCCTGTGCCGGTAGCGGGATGACCTTTGTGACTATAAGCCCTGGGGCGGGGGAGTGCGGCGGAGGAGGAAGCGAGATGCCGGTGTGGCCCCCACCCCACGCAGGGACCCCTCGCATCCTCGGGAACACAGGAGGAGGGGCCCTAATGAAGACAAATGCAGGGCCCAGCGCCGCCAGATCACGCGGCTTTCAGAGCCACCTCCCCTCCTCCCGCAGTGCGCAGCCCGGACCGCACGGCCAGTGCGCATGTTCCGGAGAGCCCGCCTGTGAGGCTGGGGGGGTGGGGGGGGGGGGGAATGGGGCGGTACCCAGGCTGAGTCCAGCGAGTCTCGGCTCACGAGGCAGAGCCCCTCACCTCGCCTTTCTCGGACACCCGCCCACAGGTCCCTATCCCTGCCCCTGCCCGCCCCCCACCTTGAGCAGCTCCCTGGGGAAGTCGCCGCCTTCGTTGAGGCCCTCCAAGTTCCCAATGAAGTCTCCGCAGGTCATGCGCTTCCCGATGTTCTAAGGGAGGGAACAGAGGCCTGTGGACCCGGGTGGCCCTTGGCCTTCCAGGCCTTGAGGTCTTGGACCGGGTCTGTTTTCCGGCTCCTTCCCGCCATACCCCACTCACGTGGCCGTGGAGATCGGTGTTCAGTAGCATGAGGGCGCAGGTCAGCGTGTGCGCACCGTCTAGGGCAGAGTTGACATTCAGCCTCCCTGGGACTCTTCCCACCGCTGTCTTACTCAGACTTCCAGCTCATCCCCTGACCCCCTCCAGGACCCCTTTGGCCCACAACCACACTTTTGTAAGTCCTGAAGCCCATTAGTGAGCCAAACTTCAGCAAAGATTTCTCTTTTCCAGAAGATCCCTTAGAAGGGACCTCACCCCTTTCTCAGGCCACCCTCCCTAGCTCTCTCAGGTGCTGGGGCTGTCCACTGCGTGCCCCCTAACACCCACATGCCTGTGTCTCTGCACGCAAGACAAACAAGTGTGCCTCACACAGTTATGCGGACCAGTGCAGCCAAACAGAATCCCCACTCAAGCCAAGCACTGTTTGGCACATATATGTGGACAATGGTATGCAAACACACCTGTCACCTGCCTCTTCACAACACACACTAGACCCTAACAATATGCCTGCCACATGCACAGTTCCACATCCATGTAGCCAGGTCAGCATGGTCTGCACACATGTATGCTCACATGCCTGCAAGCTTGTGCATTCATTCATTCCGGCACACATACCCATGCACCTAGGCACACACACAGTGCCCATTTGCCTCAGTGACCAGCCCTGTCCCTGGCCTCCTCACCCTCTGAGGACAGAGCTCCAGGATTGCACTGGAAGTATCTCTGGGAGAAGTGGGCCAGCACGCGCTCCCGTTCCTGGGTCTCACCCATTAAGGCCAGCTCCTTCAGAAACACCCTGGAGAGGAGGGAAGAGGGAGCACGTCACCCCCACCCAAGGTCCCCTTACCAGGTAGCCCTGGCTCTTGGGAAGAGTGATGTCAGGGCAGCTTAGGGGAGGTGCAGGGGCTCAGAGGAGGCAGAGCTAAGGCCCTGCACACCAGGCCTGGAGAGCTGGGGCTGCACTCAGAGGGCTCACCACCCACCTGAGAGCTTGGTCCAGAGTCATGCCCGTGAAGACAAAGAACTTGAGGTACTCTCCAGCCACGAGTTTACTGAAGTCATTGCTGTGGGCAGGGTAGAGAGACAGGGAGAGTCTCAAGGGGAAGTGTCAAGGGGCCAAATGGGGGGGTTACTGAGGAACCTGGGGGCATTAGATAGAGGGGATGTGGAGGTGCTGCCCACAGGATGCATCCCTCCTGCCCCCTCTCATTCCCAGCCCAGTGGTTTTACTTCTTGCCCAGGTGCCGGGCCACATCAGCCTTCCTGAAGCCGTCCAGTCGGTACAGCCTCTTAGCCAGGCGCTGCGCAGCCTCCAGGTCTGCCTTCTGCCCATTAGACAAGGTGTCCGTGCTCCCCAGGGCCAGCCGCTCTGTGCTGTCCAGCTCTGAGTCTGAGTCAGATACCAGCTGGCTCAAGGGTGGTTCGCTGCCAGGGCAGAACACCAGCTCAGAGATGGGCCAGGTTCTCAGGGGCCATCCAGACCCTTCCTCTGCCTCCGGAGCAGGATGACAGGAGGGGAGACTGGGACATGGGGAAGACATTTTCTTTCCTCCAGAGGGGATGTTCAGGCTCCCTCCATCATTACCACCTCTCTGTGGAAGTCCTGCCTCAAGTCTAACCCACATCCATGTTGCTGCTGTGGGAATTCTGGCTGCTTCCCCAAGGAAGGAGAAGATGAGGCTCTAAGCTGCAGTGGGGTGTGAGACGGAGAGGAAAGCCCCACACTCCCCATTCTCCCACAAAGCTCCCCAAGTTTGCTGTTGCACATAGATTCCCCATCACCACTCTGGTCCTTCTCGGACATAGTCATATCTCTAAGGATATGGGCAAGGGTCAACACAGGCTGTCAGGGGAGAACAGTAGACGGTCAAAAATTTGAGGGCAACAGGGACAGCTTCCCACTCCTATATCTTTCCTCCTCCCACCCGTTAGGGAGGGGAGCCTCCTTCTTGGTCCTTCGCTTCTACTCACAAAGAAGCAGGTTCTAGGGTAAAGGGGACTGCCGGTCAAAGTGCTCCCCCTCATCTCCTGTCTCCTCCTTTCCTTCCCTTCCCACCCCAGCTGCTCTACTTGCAAAGCCACCTGTCACCCAGAGACAGAGGCCGGAAACTCCTGGTTGCTAGGCAACCCTGTATCTCTGGCCACCCCCTCCTGTTGCCATGGCTTCCATGACTGAGAGGGTAGCTGGCAGAGGAGAGAGCAGAAAGGTTAGACTGATGAATGGACTTCCTGGATAAGGGTGAGAGACTCCTGATTGGAGGGGGCGGTGGCTTGGGAGGGAAGCATGGGGGAGGCTGGTGGCTGCATCTTTGGAAGAAGCCTCCAGGCTGGATGGGTGTTAGGTCACACGAATTCTAGGCAGGTGGCCGGCTCTGTCTGGGGAGGGAGGGGCCCTCCTGGAGAGGACATCCTTCAATTCTGAATCGTGGTTTCTCAAGTCACTGGATCTGAGACCAAGGGGGCGGGGGGGCGGGGGGAGACGACTCTAAGGGGCTCCCCCTCACAGTCAGTGGGAAGTCCTCCAGGTGGGAAACAGGGCATCTGCATTCCCTAACCAGGCCTCTCAGGGGTCAGGAATGCAAACTACCTCTTCGCACTCAGGCTCTGTCCCTTCCAACAGCTGTTCCTAGAGCCCCAGGGGCCTTGAATCTGAGAGACCAAAGGAATCACTCACCTTCCCAGGGGTGCCACCCCCAGCCCAAAGCTGTCCTCCGAGCGGCAGGGACTAGGGGGCTCCTTCCCTGGGGCTTGCTTGGCTGCAGCCTCTGCCTCTTCTTCCTCCCCTCTCTGTGTCCAAGGCCCATCAGCAGCAGAGCTGGTACCAGAATCCGGTTCAAGAGGGGCAAGTGGGGCGGGAACAGGGGGATCAGGCCGGGGGATGGGGGGTTGGGGAGGCAGCTCAAAGGTGAAGAAGGGGCTCTGGGTTGGGCCAGGTGAGGCCAGGGCCTCCAGGGAGGCAAGGCTGGTGTAGGAGGTGCCCTTGGCCCGGTGTGACTCCAAGATGGCTTCGAACACACAACTGAAAGAGTCAGGCCCATCAGCCGAGGGGCTGGTCCCAGGGAGGAAGGGCACAGGTGACTTGAGAGGCCCCAGGTGAGGCATCTGGGTGCCTGGCCTGCAGGGGCAGGGAAAATCTCCCATCAGGGGCCCAGAGGACAACTCTCAGGTAGCATTTCATTGAACTTTCATACTGACTCTATGAAGGGGTTTATCACCTGCTTTTCACAGTCCCCCAAACCCCTAAAAAAGCCATCTGGATAGGGGCTCCCCACCACAGGTCCTTCAAGCTATTTAGTGCCTTGGGGCACACCATCCCTATCCATCCCCAGCAACCAATCCCCTTCCTCTCTCCCTCCGTGCTAATCTCCCTTTCTCCTCCTTCTCCCTGATCCTCTCCCCTCCTGCCATCCCATTTCTATTTCTGGCAACATCTTAGGAGAAGGAGATGAGGCTCCAGGCTGCAGTGGGGTGTGAGATGAAGAAGAAACCCCCACACTCCCCATTCTCCCACCAAGATCCAGGGTATGGATTGATGCTCCCACACCCCAGGCTTAATTCTGGCCTCTGGCCTCTCACTCAGCCCTTTCTTCACCAGAACGCCTTTCCTCCTCTATCCGGGCTACCCCCTCTCCTCCTGGGTTCTTGCAGATGCCCCCCCCCCCCATTCCAGTATTCTACCAGGCCTCAGGCCTCTGTCCAGAGTCTCCTGCCACACCATGCTGTTGGCACCACCAGCTTGGTCCTGACTCTCCCCACCCCACCCTCATCTCTATTCCAGTCCCATTGACCCCAGCTCTGCCTCTGGACCAGTGGGAAGGAGCAGCCACTGTCCTCTCCCTCTCCCCCACTCACCGTGCCCCCTCCGAGGCCTCAAACACCTCATCGTCCACATCCTCTTCCCCACCTGCCTCATCCTCATCGCCACTGCTCAGGCTGGCATGAGGGCCAAGGCATGGGCCCGGACGTGGGGCAGGTGGGCGGACGGTGCCAGGCAGGCCCTCAGAGCTGGGCTGACTCTCGATGGCTGAATCAGCCTCCTCCCGCTCAGCCAGCACTTCATCGATGTTGGTCTCTCGGTAGCACCTCAGGGGCACCGTGTCCAGGTCGGTCTCGGAGTATTTGGCCGCTCGCCCCACAGCCACCCCAGAGCCCTGCCCTGAGCCCACCCCAGGTGGAGATGGGGGGGCCTGCTCTGGGGGCTTAGCACCTGCAGTGTGCACAGGCATCCGGGTCAGGAGGTTGTCCAGGTCAGCTTCCTGCCCTGACTGTTCTAGGAAGGAAGTCATCCCCACTGCCTCATGTTGGCAGGAGGTTCTTTCACTGTCTCATCACCATTCCTCCTGCTACAAACTCAGCTTGTTCCTGGTACCAGTGGCGTTCATTTTCTACTCCAAGGACTGATCCTTGGTATCCTCCCATCCCCTCCTTCCACTACCCAGCTTCCTGCAGGTGCCCAACCCAGCCATCATCCCCAACCCCTCCATCCTAGCACATATGGGAAGACGGGCCCCAGGCCTGAGGAAGCATTAGCTGACACAGGAGCCCAGGAAAGGCTGGGGGAGGTTTAAAGGAGGACTCCCTACTACACCTCGGTGCTGAGAAGGACCTGCCCTATTCCCCTTGCTCCAGTCCCAGCCTTACCTGAGCTGGGGGGTGCCAAGGAGCCATAGAAGAATTCCCATTTGGCTCGAGCGATTCTCTGGGCATGAGAGGAGACTTCCCGGGGTGAGGACCAGGTGTCTCCCTAAGCCAAGGAGGGAGAGGTAGAAGACACCCAGAGATAAATCCAGACATGCAAAGACAAAAGAAGATGGGATAGAAACACAAAGAAAACCACTCAGGGACAGAGATGGAGGCGCAGAGACAGAGGGACAAGCCCAGAGGGCAAGAAGGAGATTTAGAATAGGAGTGAAGGATTCAATGAGTAGCCCACGGGGCCAAAACGGCCAAGGAGCCCAGTCTTGCCCCTTCTGTAGGACTCTGGGGTTCCAGGGAGCCCAAGGGAGGTCGCATACCTGGTTCAGGAGTCCAGTGTCAGCAGGTCCTCGGAATAGTGTGGCCAGGTGCTCAGAGGGCCCCCCCAGCCCATTGGGGAGAGAGGAGTAAAGACCATCTGCCCTGACCTGAGGTGGGGCTGGCGGCCCGTGTAGAAGGCCCTGGCTGCCAGGCAGAGCTGAACCTCCTCCGGCTGGGAGTGGGTCTGAAGTGGAGGCCTCCAGCCGCAACTTGCGGTTGGAGCCAGGCCCAAGAGCTGGAGTGGGCCTGGGAGGAGCGACCCCACCCAGGTCCCAGCTCCGACTCAAGCCTCCGGGAGCAGGTAGCCCATTCAGTGGCCTCACGCTGGCCTTCTCCACAAAGCGGAATATGACTACGGAACTCCGGGCCCCTGGTGGAGGCTGCCCAGTGGGTGAAGAGGGTGCCCAGGGTGAGGGAGCAACACGGGGTGAAGGGGGGCCACGCAGGGGTGTCGAGGGTGCTGTCACACGTCCCAGTTCCCGGCCTCGGGGACCTGGACCTGCCACCCGCCGTAGCAGGGAGCCCGTGCTGCCATACATGCTGGCTGGGGGACTCTGAGGCACAGGGCCTTCGGGGAGCCAGCGGCGTGGGCATCGTGGCGGGGAGATGGCACAGTCACCTTCAGAGCAGAAGCGCATGGCACCCTGGGCCATGCTGGGGCCCGGGGGTCAGGCTGGGGGGGCAGGGATGGCGAGGCCAGGCGGGGAGTGAGGGGGCAGCATGCTCTTCTGACAGGCCTGCAAGAGAGGAAGGGGAGCAGGGGGTGAACCGCCAGGGAGTTGGATGCACAAGAGAGCAGAGACAGGGAGGGGAAAGCTGGCTGGGGCCACTGAGCACCAGGGGCCTAGCCCACCCTGGGACTATGGCATCATTGATCCTTCCCCTGGGGGTAATCAGACCTCCTGCTTGGGCTACTTCCATGGAGGCCTGAGGAGAAAAGATTGTTCCCTCCAAAAGGACCCTGGGTTCTCTCCTCCTGCCTGGGAACCCTGAGCATCACCTGGGGGAGGGGGGGCAGGGAGGAAGGAAGCTATGTTGGAAGGAAGGAAGTTGAGTGAGCCTGGAGTCTCTGTGGCATTTTGTAGGTACTACTGGTGTGGGGGGAGGGGAAGACTGGTGCCCCCACCCTCTGGGCTAGGAGTGTCAGCCAGCCTTCACTATCATGCAGCCATGCGTGCCCCACAGTTAGCTCCTCTTATGGAGGCCCCAATTCAGGCCCCCTGGAAAGAGAGGAAAAAGGAATTGGAGAAGGGGGATTATCTAGGGACCACGAGGAGCTGAAAGGCATAGGGTGAAGGGGAAGAAAAAGGCCTGAACAGAAGCCGCTACCCTGAATACGTACATGATGGATGGGAAAGGACGTTTTTGTTCTTAATATAGGTACACACACTCATGCACACACACATACTTAAGGACCAAAATGTCATATATGGTTAAACACATTCAGAGGCGACACGCAGACAGGCACACATACACATTGCTCAGAGACACACCTTCACACAGTCTCACAGTCATAACAACTATGTGTCTCATGGAAAGGCACATGCTTGTCTTACACACAAAGAGATGCCCAGATACACACAGAGGGACCCTCATTCTCTAATGCTCACAGATACATAGGCATATCAGATACAGAGACCCACCGGTCACAATGACACACACATACAGGTGCACACTCACACCCATACTGAAGCAGGGACACACACCCTCTCTCCCAACCCCCACCAGTCACTGGTCCCTGGAGGGGGAGACTGCACCAGACCCTTCTCCCACCGGGGTGACAGATTCTGTCCAGCCCAGGAGGCACCCTCAGGGGGTAAAGGGGCCTCTTGTGGCAATGCAGGGTAGGGACCGGGGTCAGGAGCAGCAACCCTGCTACTCAGGCTCCTGAAACTCAGTTGAGGCCCAGCATCTCCCCGTGCAACCCGGACTCAGTACTCACCGCCGCCGGCTTGGAGCTGGGGCCGAGGAGGGAGAGCAGAGGCCGGGCCCAGCTCGGCTGTGAAAGCAGCGCGGCTCCCGCTGGCTCCCGCTTTCTCCCGGCCCGCCCGCCTCTGCCTCTCAGTCCCTCCTCCTCCCTGCGTGGCTCCGGCAGAGCTAATCTCACCCCCCTCCCAACCCCCGCCCTCTCCCAGGGCCCTGAGCCCTGGAGGCTGCGCCCCCCCCCCCCCCCCCCGCGCGCACACACACGTTAGGTCTCGGCTGGACTCTCCCGCCAACCTGAGACCCGCCCCAGACGAGGGGAGGATGTATGAAACCCGTTTATCTTCCTCCACCCTCACGTGCCCCACCCCGACTGTGTCCACGTTCCTCTCGCCACTGCCCCCTGAGCCACACGCCGGACCCAGCTTCACGCGTGCCCCGCTCCAGACCTCACTCGTGTCCCTAGGAGGTTGCCACCTGACCTGTTACATGCCACACGCGCTCCCGCCCCCACGAGCTCCCGGCCGCGCCAAGCGCACGGTTTGCGTGAAGAGAGCGGACCCGCCCCCTAAATCCCGGAGACCATCAATTTATGGAAGAGAGACTTGGGGTGCACCGCCTCGAACCCTCCGGGGTTCAGGGTCTCAGGCCCAGGAGACACAGCCCTGACCGCGCGCCCAGGATGCAGTAGGAGGTCCATCAGTCAGACTTCAGGAGGCACTTCCTTGATGCCTGAGCTCGGCGCCCATTTAAAGATAAGAGGTTGGAAGGGATGACGCCGGGACTGCAGGTAGTGGGGGCAGACAACCCGTGTGCCCTTGGCCAAGGTAAAAGGGGGCCCATCTATTTTTCAGTAAGCGCCGCTAGAGTTCCTATGGCAACCGCTCTCCCAGAGAAAGCCCGGGCAGGCCGATGGTGACCTCGCAAAGAAGAAGGGGTCTGTTTGGGTGGTCGGGGGCGCGAGAACGTGCGAGGCGGGGACGCACGGGGCTCACCGCGGGGAGGGGCGGCGCCGGCTCCGCGTGGTGCTGAAGGGGACAGCGCCAGGTTTGTCGCACTGCGCAGGCGCAGAGGCGTTAACAAAGCGGGGAGGAGGCGGCGGCGCGCGGCCGGGGGAGGTGCGCGCCCACGTGGCTCTATTTTAGCAGAGGTGGATCCTTCCAGCTATATCCTCCCCACGCCGGCTGAGGAAGGAGTCAGTCCTCTCCCAAGTTGACCCTCTTTGATCCTTCCCCTCTGCTGGCTTCCCTCTTCTCACTGCATTGGGAGATGAAGGCATGTGGAAAGAATTCTGGGAAACCCAGGATGCTTTAGTTCTTTATCCCGATTCGCTCCACCCTGGACAAGGCGCTTCCTCCCCAGGGCCTTGGATTCATCTTTAAAATGGAGTGACAGCACAGACCTGCCCACCTTGCAGAGGTGCCGGAAGCCCTGATGAGATCATGGATGGGAGGGTCACCCAGCTGGGGGACAGCTTTCAGCGACACCAGTAGCTCTCAGAATCCTTCACACCCTCACCACCAATGGGTGATGGGGAAGGCATTGCTCCAGGGGTTCCCCGGAGCGGACCCTGGAACTAGGACCTGGGACGCCCTGAGAGGGCAGCTTAGAGTCTGAGGCCAGAGCTTAAGGGCGTCACTGCGCTAGGGTAGCCCAGACCCAGACCCACAACAAAACCCCCAACGGAGAAGCACTACTCCTGGCGGCTGAGCTGAGCACTCTTCTCAGGACTTTAAACCTCCTAGGGAAGGAAAGGGACCCGGCTGGAGATGTAGTTCTTTGTTTTATTTTATTTTATTTTATTTATTTATTTCAGAGAGGAAGGGAGAGGGAGAGATAGAAACATGATGAGAGCGAATCATTGATCAGCTGCCTCCTGCACACCCCACACTGGGGATGGAGTCCTGACCGGGAATCGCACCCTGACCTTTTGGTTCATAGGTCCATGCTCAACCACTGAGCCACGCTGGCCGTGCGAGACGTAGTTCTTCTTAATGCGCCCTGCATCTCTTCCCCCAAGGTGTAAGCTCATTCCAAATCGTCCAGGAGTGGAAGGGGTTGGATAGCTCTGTACTTCACAATTAACCAGGAATGGGAGGTTTGGGCAAATTTGCTTGATGAAGGAAGAAAAAGCTAGCTTCACTCATTCAATTCATTCAACAATTATCGAGCACCTACTACATGCCAGGCATTACGAGCCTAGATAGATTCTTCCCATTTTTCAAAGTCCCTAAAAGCAACCAGAGGGCAGAGGGTAAGCCCGGAACCTTGGAATTCCGGCTCTGCCCCTTCTGCGTTTGGCCTTGCTTGCTCCTCCCATCACCACTTCACTCAAAACCATCCACTGGCCCAAGGCAATAAAAGAAGCCAGTCTCTGCAGCAGCATCACGTTCTTTAGACTCGGGTCTCAAGCCCTATAGCGGAGAAGGCGAGATCTAATGTTACAGCACCGGACTGTTCCGCCCTCTGTTTCGGTATCTATCGCGAACGCTTTCCGATAGGATCCTCAGTGAGACGGCACTCGATTGAATCGGTCTGTCACTACAGCCCCAGGAGGCGGGTTCGCGGCAGCTGTTCCTAAGCCAAAGCGAGAAGACCTTACTGCGCACGCGCAGTAGACAGCCGAAGGAGCCACCGATGGAGCCGTCCGGAGGGCAGCAAGAGCTGGGAGCCGTCAGGTACCGAGCACCGAAGGGGCCGAGAGAGTGAAGAAGGACCTGGGGGAGGGGAGTTGACCCGGGACCTGGCCTAGGGGCCGCTCTTAGGAGCTAGGGCGCAGGAGCGTAACGGAGACGGACTCGCAGGTAACAGCGGTCCGGGGACGCCGCCGCCAACGCCCTTTTACCCACAGGCTCCTGGACCTGCCTTGGGAAGACGTGCTGCTCCCACACGTCCTGAGCCGGGTTCCGCTGTGCCAGCTGCTCCGGCTGCAGCGCGTCAGCCGCGCCTTTCGGGCCCTAGTGCAGCTGCACCTGGCGGGGCTGCGCCGCTTCGACGCCGCTCAGGTGAGCCGGGGGTGGGGGTGGGGAGAGGGGGGGACAGAGCTCCGCCCCCATCTGGGTACCGCCCTCGCCTTGTCTCCAGCCCAGTTCCCAGTCCCTCTGTCTACCCTTCCAGACCCCCTTAGCCCTCCAGGGGTGCCCTGGAAGAGAGCCACCTGCGGGAAGTACTCTCAAAGGACGAGTACCGGGTATCAAGTCCGAGGCGCCTGGGGCGTGGGGTCTCTCCTGGGAGGGCAGGTGGCAAGCCCCAGAGGGCAGGCTGCTGCCAGGAGA